TTTTAAATTGTAGGAAATTTCAGGCTGATAAAACATGATATAACTCAAAAACAAGCACAATTTGATGCAAATAGATGTTTGTGACATAACCTCAAAATAGAGCGCTGACACGGAACAGTAGAAAACTATGACAATCAAAGAGGCCATAAAGGCGCCCTACAATTGTAGGGACGACTGACGATACGGGCCTAAATCTTGAATAATCTTGAAAACTATACAATACTCATTGCTGAAACTTTAAATAGTGTAGTAAGGAGTGCTATCGAGCATTTTACCTAATTTTTCAGACGGCCAGCTTGCTAAAATTGGTTGTTACTTCTCTTCTGCTTTTTCGCTTCCTCGGGTTTGTTTTCCAACACTTTGAACTCGTACTCGTTTAAATATTCGTTGCTTTTTTGCATCAAACTAACCTTAAGGAGTGATTATTTCATTCTGTAATTACTTTGTTGCAAAAACAAGATAATAACAGACTAATTGAACTAAATATCTAAAATCTCAATAAAGTACCAATAAAAAATGTTTTAATTCAATTCTCTCCATACAATGCTTTTGTTACATGACACCTGTATACACTAATGTCTCCAATTGTGACTTCGGTTTTCGTGCTACATTTATAAACAGTTCAGTGCATTTCAGCTTGAAATGTTTTTATAAACTTTAAGGCTCATGTGTGATCGTGTAAAAATATCAGCTCTCAATATAAAATGTGTTTTTTTTTATTTTTCAGCTATTTTTATCGATAAATTTACCCCCTACAATGTCATACCTCACCCCCCTTGAAATGAATTCATACCGTTCCGAACGAAATTAGAGCTGACACGGATATGGTCTGCCGCTCAACACGACACATTGTTTTAAGAAGAACAATGTGCATAACCAATAATGGAGGACATTTTGAACAGCTTCTGTAACATTAAACATGTCCAAAGTCTCTATAAGAAGCATTGATTTATCATTTTTATGTACAAAAGTTTGAAAACAATTTGCATTTTATTACACCCATTTTGATCCATGTTAGATAGCATTTATTGCTCAACGTAGAATAATTAGGCTAACACAAAGCTGTAGAATTAGCACATGAAAAGTACAACTTCACAGACTAGTTTTTAAATGGTGTGCGGAAATGCGCAAAATAATCAATTTTCTTCCATATTTTTTCTGTTTTTGTGTCTTTTTAAGTATGTTTGACGGTTAGTATCAAAACAAGTCTTTCCATAGCCGCTAAGACAACATGTCGTCGTTCAAATGACATCAAATTTATCATTCTGTGACAATTTCATACTCAGTTATTACAATTTTCATACATGCACTACCGTAATCGTAACGTAAAAATAAAAATGGCTGCCATTTCATGGGGGATGAGGCAGGACATTGTAGGAGAGTGGATTTATCGATAAAAATAGCTGAAAAATACACCTCTTAAATATCGGTATGTCGTGACCAAACACATTGTATATGTATATAAAATGTATGGCAGTGCTTTTCTTTAATGTCCCCTCCCCTTTGATTTTTGAATGGATCAATTAAAAAATTAAAACTTGAGGTAATGAAATTGCTGCGTGGATACCATATTTTAGAGTAAAATTGACATATGAAAATGTCAAGATGGCCGCTGGACGCCATCTTGGAAAACAAAATTATATGAAAACGGGGGTCTTGTGGCACATCATTTTGAAGCTCCTGATGAGTACTTTATAACCCTAGAATATAAAATCAATAACTTTACCTACTACAAAATGGTGTAACATTTAATAATTACTATTACTATAAGCACAAACCCACTAACATGCATATCTCTACAAATAATTGTAATTCCCTGCCATATCCACAGCAACAGCGATAAAAACTTGTTTTCTTATCTTTTGTTGACAGTGACAAAAGTATCAGTACGAAAACAAACGTACAGTTAAAATATTCTTATTTATTTTTGGGTTTTAGTGCTAGATACTGTTTGAACTATTTTTAAAATGGTCAAATCTCGTCCATTGGAAGAAAAAATCGGAGCGATTTTTATTTATGGTGCAACGCGTAACTTTCACGAGACCGAAAGGATTTTTAATGATCGTTTCCCGAATCGTCCTATCTGTAAAAAATATTTAATGGAACTTGTATCCAAATTTACAGCTACTGGTAGTCTAAACAACAAAAAGCTCCCAGGTCTTCCGACCATCCCGGAAGACAAGCAAGTTCAAATAATTGGTGAGATCATAGTAAATCGATGTAGATTTTTGAAAAAATAAGTATCACCCATACAAAATTCAAATGGTACAACAGCTAACTGAAGATGACCCTGATCGAAGATCAGAATTCTGCGAGACTATGACGGAAACCATTGCACGGCATCCTACCTATATCCAAAATATTTGTTTTAGTGATGAATGTACATTTTTTCTCAACGGTAATGTGCATAGACAAAATTGTCGTTATTGGAGTGACACCAATCCTCACATCTTCCGGGAAACTCATATTCAATATCCACAAAAAATTAACGTTTGGGTTGGGATATTGGGAAATCATATTGTGGGGCCTCTATTCATCGAACAAACTTTAACTGGGGAACTGTATTAGGATATGCTGGAAAATACTATTGACCCTCTAATCACCGAAATCGTCGGAGCGAATCCTAATGAATTCGGTAGTGATATTGTATTCCAGCAAGATGGTGCTCCACCACACTACTACAGACAAGTTAGGAATTATTTAGATAACAATTTTCCCGGTCGTTGGATTGGCCGTCGAGGTCCTGTGGAATGGCCAGCTCGCTCGCCAGATCTGACACCTTTAGACTTTTTTTATTGGGTTATTTGAAGCAAAAGGTGTACGAAACTGAACCTGCTTCAATATTGGATATACGGCTGAGAATAACAAATATTTGTAGAAATATCGATATTACTATGTTTGAAAATGTTCGACGCGAAATTACAGATCGGCTGTTATTGTATCAAGAAGCTCAAGGCAACCATTTCCAGCATCTTCTAAACTGAACTCAACGTATTTATTCGAATTATCAAATTAAATGTCAATGTATTCAGGTAATTATTAAATGTACCACCATTTTGTAGTAGACTTTATATTCTAGGGTTATAAAGTACTCGTCAGGAGCTTCAAAATGATGTGCCACAAGACCCCCGTTTACATATAATTTTGTTTTCCAAGATGGCGTCCAGCGGCCATCTTGACATTTTCATATGTCAATTTTACTCTAAAATATGGTATCCACATAGCAATTTCATTGCCTCAAGTTTTGATTTTTTGAATTGATCCGTTCAAAAAATCAAAGGGGAGGGGACACAAATACGACAGAAAAAAGCGTAACTCTTTGTTTTAAAAGTAATATTCATCTTGCGAAATGGTTTGTGAATCATATCGATCAAGTAAACTTGTGTACTTTGTTATAAATTGCCCTTTGAACGAAGCTTGTATAATCCTCCAACAATTAGAAATTCTAAAATTTTGTTGTGGTTATTTAGATGTATTTGAGGAATTTCAAGAATCTGCGTAATATTATCTTCGCAAGTACCAACCCCTGATCTTCAACCCTGACGAAAGATTTTCTGAACGTTAGCAGGGTTGCCACAAATGTCAAAAACAGTTTAAGAGAGAGAGAGTTGGAACGTATTAATTTTTTTTTGTTTTTTCCGTTTCCCCACCACCACTGGAGTCAATTCACAAAAACTCAAATCGTTTTTATTCTTTTATCCATTAATTACGTGAGGTGTTCCGTGAAGAGATAATCGCGTCGAATCTCATCCAATCACGTAGGGGAGGGAAATATATGGGTGAATATCAGTTATTGGGGAATTCAATGTTCCTGCAAAAAAATCTTAATCCAGTGGACAAATTGTGGAAATAGACCATCCAAATAGTTGAAAATGTCAATCTTTAGTTGGAACATATGACGAAATTGAGGTAACCATTAAGATTTAGGAAAAATCTGATTGAAAGCTAACAAAATGTATACTCCCCTGGCATGTTCCATTCCCAAATTTCACTACAAACATCAAAAAATCTCTGTATTATGTGCTGGTACAACAATATGCGGATACTCTTTGTATTACCTAATACATCTGATAACATATTTTCGCAAAAAGACCCACTAAAAATATACATAAATGCGTAAAAAGTCCCGTTTATTAGTGGTTCCTGAGAACAGTGTCACCCTCACCTGGCGCAATTCAAATCTCATAGATTCATCAAAATATGGCAACTATGCGACTTGACCTTGAGCAGTAAGTAGCAAATGAAGAAGGGATAGTGCGAAAACTATCGTAATTTGGAAAACGAAGGCCAGCGACGCGTCAGTTGCCCACTAACAGTCGTCCGATACCCTTTTGCCAGTGAGTGAAGCATTTCCCCTGGTAAGTATATCTTTGTGAATTTAAAAGTTACATTTTTGCGACTTTATAAAAAATTAAGATTTTTGAATACAAAAGCCATGATCACGCTAAAATAATATAATAATCAACGTATCTTGTCTTTTTGGGGCTTACGTACGTTTTCGTCACTTCCCTGGCGTCACTCCCCTGGCAGTTTCTATGCCAGGGGAAATACACACTGCCCAGGGGAAATACAAAGGTATTTTTTTGTATAAGATGTGGAGCTACTGTACCAAATTCAAGTTCAAGAGGCAGTAGATCTGAAATAGGTCAGGCATGAGGGGCTAGGCCAGACGCCTAGGGCCGTATTCATTGCTCAAACGCTCAATGTCAGTGTTCATACCAATCTGTTACATCAATAAGCAGGCTGCACCTACGAAGTTGCCTGGGCCAGATTACGGCTCTGAGCGGCCTGCTTACTGCCTCTTGAAGTTGAATGTGGTATAGACACTATTTCATTAATTTCAGATACCAAAAAACCATAACTCGCTAAAATGGCAAAATTAAAAAAAAGCAAACCCGAGAGGAAAGGTTGGAGAAAAAACGGCAACGCTACCAGCGGATTAAGAATGATCCAATCAAGAATGCTGAGTTAAAAGAAAAAGAAAAGGAGAAGTATCACAGAAAGAAGGAGAAGGACAAATTAGAAGTATAAAGGATCTGACAGATAGGGAACAGCGAGCTATGAGAAAGATATGGAGAGAGAAAACTAAAAGATATAGGGATCGCGTGAGGCAAAAAACTATTGTTAATTATCCAGAGTCACCGCCGCCCTCGGACCATGAAGATCCACACTTCAATCCTCAAATATTGGACAATAGAGCTTCAGGTGCCAAAAGACGCTCAGAGAAACAGCGGAAACGGAGAAATGAGCTTGTCAAAAAACAAAAAAATGAAATTGATCGATTAAAAAAAAAGTGAAGAGATTTCAAAGGAAACTAGATCATGTAAGAAGTCTAAAAATGTCACCAAAGTCGAAAGTGGACCGATTACTAAAAAAAAACAACACCAAGGTTCCAGGAGAACGTGGAAGAAGTTAAAAAGCATCTGTTATTCAGTGAGGTAGTTCAAAATCAACTAAAAGAAAATATAAGGCATACCAAAAAGAAAAATGTGAAGACACTGTTTCGTAAAGTATTGAGTGGTAGGTTTGTTAAAAAGTACAATGTTTTAAGCCAAATTGATATGAAGCCTATGAAACGATTACCCACTGAGGGAAGAAGTTTGCTAGACGTGACAAGGAGAACAAGAATGAATGAAACTAGAGAGAAGATAAAGAACGTAATTAAAAAGTTTTCGAAGAAGATTGCAACAGTCGCTTATGCGCAGGAAAAAATGACTACATTACGAAAAACAAAGTAAAAAAACAAAAGAGGGTTTTACTAGACTCAATGAAGCGTTTACACGCACGGTTCGTTAAAACCAAAGGAATGCCGATAAGTTATACTTCATTTTGTCGTTTGAGACCTTTTTGGATTGTATATCCAAACGTTCATAGAAGAGAAACATGCTTGTGTATAACTCATGCAAATATGGAGTTGATTTTGTTCTCTTTAAGAAGAACGAAAATTATAGACTTTATGAGTTTTCAAGCAATGCTAAATTACTTATGTTGTGATCGCTTTGATGAAAAATGTCTTTTAAGAGAATGTACTAACTGCAAAGGACGTTTTATACGTTATCAGGAATTTGACAACTCTCGTTTGATCAAGCATTTTGCGTGGCAAATTGTGACCGAGAATATTTTAGACAAGAAGCTTGAAAAAAGCCGCAAGATTCGTAAGTATACTAAACAAACTTCATACTGCGCTCCGAAGAACATTGTCATGAAGCTTGAGGCCAACTTGGGCAGTTTTTTCAAACATGAGGCAAATATTGTACATCAGTATCAGACAATCAAACATTTAAAGGATAATCTAACTGACAGAGATGCTGTCATACATATGGACTTCTCGGAAAACTATAATACAAAGTTTTCAACAGAGGTACAAACATTCCATTTTGGTGGATCACGCACACAAATATGTTTGCACACAGTTGTTGTGTATACAAAGGCTAAAATTCAATGTTATGCTACAATGTCTGAAAATCTTAGCCACAATGTACCAGTAATGTGGGCTCATTTAAAACCGATAATGGAGCTTCTACCAAGTTCAGTGGAAAACATACATTTTTTGAGCGATGGCCCTGTGACACAATATCGAAACAAAGATATGTTCTTCTATTTGGCCTGCAAATTAACTGATTTATATCCAAACATAAGTGAGTTCACGTGGAACTACCACGAAGCCGGTCACGGGAAAGGTGCTCCAGATGGTGTAGGAGGAACATGCAAACGCACTGCAGATAAACTTGTGGCCTATGGAAGTGACATACCGACTATTGAAGCCTTCGCCAAAGCTATAGAAGAGCACTGCCCTGGAATTAAAACGTTTGTAATTTCTGAAGACGATATTGAGCAGCAAAAATCTATTATTGATGCTAATCGGCTGCAGATCAAACCGTTCGTAGGTACATTAAAAGTACACCAAATACGGGGAAATGCTTTTCTATGCCGTAAGGTATTAATGAAGAGGCTAAGTTGCTTTTGTAGCAGTATGTGTAGTCACTTCAACATTGGTGAAGTTAATTATCAGCAACAAACTTGTAACAAAATGAGCACTTCTGAAATATTTACTGACTCTGATGAAGAAAACAATACACACCAAAGTGCCACCAATGTGTATAAGAGTAGCAGCTGCCATGTAGATGGTCCATCTTTCTCAAAATCGACTTATGGAAAATATAAAAGTGGTGATTTTATTCTTGTTAAGTATGAACACAAACACAAAGAATTCAGATATACCAGTGTGTGCTCATCAGATTTTGATGAAGAGAATGAGGAGATTCAAGTGACTTTATTAAAGATCTGTGATAGTGATGGCCTTCTTTTTAAATTAGATGATAATGACATTTCCGACGTAAAGTTGGAACAAGTATTAGAAAGACTGCCGGTGCCAAATATAGTAATGAGAGGAAATAGATTATTTTATAAATTCAGAACTCCTATACCTGTATTCGAAAAATGAGTATCTACTCAAATTCATAAAAGATCCTGTTATATGTTAATTTCATTTTTATGCTAGCTACCGTTTTTTATTTATAAGCACTGATTTCGATTCAAAGACTGACCATAGGTATTATGTCAATTTTTTGTTTTAAGTTTTTATAATGAATGGTTTATGTAACAGTTCCTGTGTTCAGAAGACTGCCATTTTTTGAGAAGTAACCAAGTTTAGTTTTATTTGTATTATTATTATTATTGTTACTCAAGTACCTACATTGCCATCTATATTAGGTTGCAAGATATAAACAGTTATAGTGGTTATTATTTATACTAGTTCTTGTGTGAGCAGAGTTCGCTCAGTTGATCTTAATATTATTTTTTAAGAGACTAATGTAACACATTGTAGGATTTTGTTATTTCCAATAAAAAAACTATTGACCTTATTTACCTATTGGTGTTTATATACTTTTATAAAGTGTCCTTTAAGATAATTCACATGAGAAGTTGTCACTCTTCTGTCTCAGTTTGTCACTACCCTGTGTATAGTGTCACTCCCCTGACTACACATTTTCCCCTGGTAGCTGTAAAAACTCTAAAAATTAGAAAACTATCTGGTCCTGTCAAAGATGCATCACAAATAGTATAATCTTAAAAGGTAATGAATATGAAAGTGAAATAAGTAATTTTTCTTAGGTACCACTAAAAACCCAAATACCTGATATTCACCCAAATCCCACTTTTCGCGAAGAGGAGGTACTTCAAAACCTAAATTATCACATAGCACATAAGGGATACCATACGACTTAGTTTAGCAATTACAGTCGTACGACAGGTTGGAACGCAAAAGTTCTCTAGCCTCAAACTGTTTATTTGACCAATCGTCGGTCTATTTGACATGGTCGTGAGTAATCTAGACAGCATGGCCTTAAGACGATATGTTTATTTATTTCGAATGACCTTTTGACCTAACCACTAAAAAGCGTGAATAGAACTATATTCTGTTTAGTATAAATATAGCGTTCTATAAGTTTTTTTACGGAAGCTTGGCAAACAGCTCAATAGCCAAGGAAGCCCGTGATAGTGTTGTCAACTGTCAACAGTGTCACATTTTACTGTTTTTGTTTGTGCCTTTGCATATAACCATTGTCGGCTTCTCTTCTCTTCTTTTCATTGAGAGATGATAGCACGAGACACAAAGTGACAGATGTTTTATGCCATTCTGGAGGGATATTTATAAAAAGCGATGCTGGAGTGCTTCAAAAGCTGAACCTGTACCAGTATTATCAAAAGAAAACACTATTAGTTGGCTTGAAGCTATCAAATGAGTCAATGTCTAGCTCACTTCAGAGTTCCAGAAGAAAAGCTAAGCTAACTTTGACCAGGACATAACCTGCGCATAGCCCAACCCCGACGATTTTTAACTATACTGTAGAGCATTGTAATTTAATTTTTTATATCCACTGCTAAGGACCTTGAACACAACTTAAGTTCAGAGGATTTTTCACAGAACCAAAACAAACTTAACCTGGAAGGTGCAAGGGAGGACAAATCTTACTCGGATGAGGTTGGTCTGTTGGTAATACAGTCATTTAAAGTGAGTTTAGTTAAAAAGAACGTGCAATAAGTAGAGCACCGACTGAAATAAGGCGAGATTGTGTGTAAAACGAACGCACCTGTTGTCACAGATTGCAAATGCTATGAAGGAAGCATATGAATTAAAAGTACATATTTCAAAGAATACCAATATGGCTTCCTAAAGCAACATGGAAATCCACAAAATTCCTAAAAGTTTTTAGTTTCTGTTTGATAGGTATCAAATAGATATGAGTACAGCAGATTAAATGCATGTCAGAAACAGTCCTGAAGAAAGATCGAGGTTGTCTACAAGTTTCACATAAGAGTGGCCTTTATCTGTTATTGGCATTACAAAAATGATAAAAATAACGTTATTCTTCGAGCTTATAAGTCACAAAGGGTCAATCAGAGTCGACGCAATATAACAGCAATCAAAGAAAGAACGATGACACCTGTTTACTGACATAAGAGCGAAAAAGGCATTACAACAAATGGATCCTGTGTGTACGAAAGGTCGAGTTACCGCAAACACTTAAGGCACTATAGCGAAAAGGTATACGCAGGTTTTTTTGACCGTAGCTCGAAGAGTGATGTTGGGATCTCGATTGAGAAGAAAATGCTGGTGTGTGTATGGATTTCACGCTATATGCTTGTCAAGAAGTGATGCCGAGCAGTAACAAAAAAACAGGAACCTGATTGTAAATAAGTATCGACACTTAAAATGAGTTTCGATCTCTGTTTGTCGACATAAACACGATCCGCCATGAGGATTTTGACACCTGATTCTAACTGATTTCGGCATCAAAATGATCACATAAGTGTCGAAATTATAGTACCATCAAACTATAACGCCAGCAGGCTGCTCAACAACCTCAGATCTACCCAAAGGGACATTTGGGTGTAGGCAAAATTTTAGTAAGTAATCTAGAAGCTCGGCCATTGCAAGTAGTATTTTTTCCATCACCTTTTTACCTGATATAAAGCACACAGATAACTTAGCCTAAAATATTGCAGTCCCAAAAATGCGGTCCATACTTATGCGGCTAATCTGGACATGCTCCCAATATGTACTCTCAAGCCCTTTTCTCATCGATCCTTCCTATCGATATGTCAACGGCTGTTCGTTGGAGTTCAGGCGTATTATGAGTCTGTTATACCCGTCAGCGTTCATATTATTATACCATGTCTGGATCTCCCAAAAAGTGGAAAACCACGTGCATTTACTCCACAGAGGTTAGATTGGTGGGAAGAGCAAAAAATTAGGTTGGAATATCAACAAACAAACTGGTTCCTCAATACAGATGTTCTAATAGTACGATATCATTGGAACTGAGGAGGAATGGTCTCAAGTATCGAAAGAGACTTTAGTGCCCCAAATACTCTCAAGCGCAGCTCCTCCGTATACCAAGATCACCAAAAATCATTATTTTAAATGACGGAAGGTATTTCGCTTTGAGTAACTCTGAAATGAAATGAAACATCGGATTTTGTACGGACAACGTAGAGGAATGCCCTGACAATGTAAGATACAAACATAAAGCGAGATTTGCAGATGAAATCCTTGTCTGGTGCGCAATTTCTAACAGGGGTGTATCCCAAGCTTTTGTGGAAAGAGTGAGGTTTGAAGCTTTAAATAGTCAGAGCTATATTGAAAAGTGCCTTTCCAAATTGCTTCAGGTGGTGCACGAACATCATGCTACTAACCATATCATATTTTTGGCCAGACCTAGCATCATGCGATGACTCAAGAGATACCAAAACTCGCTTCGACACCACAACATACCTTTTGTTCTCAAAAACGATAATATTCAAGACTTGCCGCAGGCAGTATTTTTGAGCTTTACTGTCTAGGAAGGTATATCATGGAGGCTGGGGAACCCAAGATTGAAAGTTGGCGAATACACGAAAAATTGATGTGGTTGAGCAGAATCGGCCACTCTACCGTGCGCTCTGCTCCCTCCCTCCTCAAGAGCTCCTGTGCTGTGTTTAAAATGTGATTCGGCTCAATCGAGTTGCTCAAACATCAGGAAACCACTTGCTGCGAATTTCAACGATAAATGGAAAGAGAAGCTACTATACTGCCCACAATTTCTTAGAGAAAGAATATAGAAGTATTATCTCTAAGATTAAAAAACCCAAATTTCAAGCAACATCAATACCAACAGTGATGGACTGCCAGTAAGAAATGGATAGCTAGGTGAGTTTCATATTCCTTCGTGGTGTAGTGGCATGCCGAATATTCTAGATGAATCCAGCAAGCAACTACTGATCATTTTTGCTACTACCGTATAGTTCATTTCAAGGTTTTTAGACGGTCACACTAAAACCACCGCCATCACTTAGATAAATCCATATCTCTCACACATACATATGTCAAAGGATCACAATCCAACGTTCTCATGCCTTCTCTTACAAGAACTGCAATCAATACGTTTAAAATATAAGAAATACGTTCTTGGAGTAACTCAATCTAGTTTGATATAAAAGCTTCCTAGAACCTCTTGCAGCCACTTACCGCGAAGTTCAAAGATAAATGGAAAGAGAAGCTACTCGACTGCCAGCAATTCCCTATAGAAAGAGTATAGGAGTATTAGCTCTAAACTAATAAACCCAACGAAGTTATATCAATACCAACATTGATATTCCCTCGCGATCGGTAGCCGGTGAAAAATAAATACCCAGGAAACTTTTTTATTGCATTATTTGGATTTTCTATATTCGGTAATGTTCCTAAGTTGGCTGGGTCGACACAAAAGGGAAGTTTCTTTGGTAGCTCGACGGGAACAAATTGCAGAAATTACGTTACGTTGCCCCTTGTTGTGGTGCCGGGAGCATTTTTACTTTAATTCATCAACTTGGCGATTATATTTAGAGAATGAAATATTGCAGGTGCCTCGTAAAAAGTTTCTGGAATTGGTTGCTTTATGGCGTGCGCTTTATTGTGGTTTACTTTCATGAATTAGTTACATAGTTGAGGTAAACTCTATAACTTTGTATCGATAGGTAGAGGTGGGTTATTGTCGAGATCCTGAGATTGGACACAAACATCCGTGCCACGATAATTTCTTTTTTAACAGAACCAGCCGTGTACGCAGAAGCCTGAATACCAGGGCACCTCGGCTACTATGAGAATCTTGAAAAAACTTTGCTAATCCGAAAAAACCTCCTCTTTCAGATTGTTCTACAGTCTCGATATCCTGGGACAAAGGAGGGGTCGTATCGGCCAGCTCTAGATTGTACGAAGTTCGACACGGTTGGGATGGGAAATCGAAGACAGACGAGTCTGTCTGCAAGCGCATCGTGGAGGAATCATGAAGGAGAGCTCTGAGGGGCAAAGCCCGTTGACAGCGGTAAAAGAGAGCTAGATCACCGACTGCTAGTCGT